AGTTGATGTGTTTGAACTAATAGAAGAGGCGTTTCGCAAGAGAATCCAAAGAACAAAACACTCCTGGCTTGGTGATTGATGGAAGGCAACAAAGCACCCCCTCCAAGCCCAGAGCCAACCCACGTCTCCTCCGTGAAAGGCCTCAGGAAAGCAGCCTCTGCTCTTTCACGCCCCTTTGCAGATACCCTGATGTGACCCCATTCCTCCTCTTAAATGAGAAAGAAATTCTTACGTACAATGCAACGCATGGGGCCTGGAACAAGGCTGCTGCTCGGCTCCCTTCTGCTTCCCCCGTGTTCAGTGGGACGGCAGCTGCCAGGCACACACAACCACTTCTCCGCTAAACGTCTCAAAGGAGAAACTCCTTGAAAGACCAGCCACAGCGGTTTCTCGCCACACCCCTAAATGCGTCTTTTCTTTTCTCGAAACGATCCAGTAACGAGAAAACGCACCTGCCACCAGCCTCATCTACTGACTGACTAAGCAATGGTCTTGGCTATTCTGGCAGGGTACATTTCTCTGAAAAAAAACAAATCAAACACTAGCTCAGTGGAGGCAAAGTCTGTGCATTTCTAGCCACGCTGGAGGGTGATGTGCTGTTTTCAGGATCAAAGGCAGTGCAGAGTTTTGAGCAATGTATGTTATTGGGTAACCACTGATACACTCAGAGGCAACAAACTGGATTTTATGGTATGTGAGATCCTGAACTTGATGGATTCTTAGTCCACCCACCTTGTCCTTTAGTCTTAAAGAGAAGGACGCAACTCCCGTGTTCAGATGCAATCTACCTTAAGTTGTGTTAAATTTATATTTTACCGACACATAAATAAAGGGAGACTAGTATAGATCTATTTCACATCTATACTAGTTTCCCTTTACTTCTTTGTTGGCAAAACTTAAAGACAAACATAGTTTGTCACGAAAGCGACTGGATTGGGGCTGAAAGGCGAAAGCAGTATGTGCTCTGTCCCATATTTGGGTAGATCAGGTTGCCCTGATGGACCGGTTTCACCAGGAAAAGAACATTTAATCTCTCCCCTGGTATAGCCAATAAAGCAAAGACAGCCCGTGATTTAGAGGTGAATACATCCACCTAATATGCAAAAGTAGCCCGGGTTCGAATCCCAGAAAGGGTATGGCTAGCTGACGAGAGCTAAATCGCCTGAAACAGATCTATGCTAGTCGACTTCTTTGTGGGTAAAATATAAAATTCAACACCCAAATAGTTTGTCGTGAAAGCGACTGCCTGCAAAGGACCCAGGATTGGGGCTGGAAGGCGGAAGCGGAAGCAGTACGTGCTCCGTCTCATCTTTGGCTAGACCAGGTTGCCCTGATAAGAACCTGTCTCAAGAGTTAGCAAGCTCTTGAGGATCCTAAAAAGCTGCCCGAAACCTTTCCAACCAGGCGCCATGGGATCTTTGATCGGCAGCCAACAGGGGCCCTTCGACGCTGGATTCGTGGTGGCTCAAACTAGCCCTGTTCCAGTCGGTGGAGGAAATGGGTCTACTCGGGGTGTGAGTGTGTGTGTGTGTGTGACTGGCAGTGATCTGAGGCCAAGCCTGCTTCAAAGCCAAACCTGCTCCAGCCACGAGACTTCCCAGTCCGCCTTTTCAGCACCGCCCCTCGGGACAGCAAACCCCGAAGCCCCAGGCCAGCAGCCCCTGCCTGCACCTTGCGGCCCCGCAGGAGCGTTTCAACCCCAGGGGCCGAGGGGGCCGCCCCCCCCCCCGCCGCCGGCCCCCCCCCCCCCCAAGCCCATCAGGCCAGGAAGGGCTCGACCTGTGCCGGGTTTCCTTCCCCGCGTCCTCTGCAGCTCCGCGAAGGGGCAAGTCCGCCCGGGCGCTGCAGTTCCGACCCCGCCGCCAGAGGGCGCGGGGCAAAAAGCCGCCCGCTGCCTCCCCTCTAGAGGGCGCCGTGCAGCCCCTCTGCCCGCCCCCCCAGTCCCGACTCTATGGCTCCTCTCACCCGCCAGCAAGAACGCCTCCGCCAGGCCTTGCTGTTGTTGTAGCCGCCGCCCGCCGCCTGGAACTGCCCGCCGCTGAGCGTGACCGAGATGAAATCCCGCCGCGAGGGTGACAGGAGTGGCGGCGGCGGCGGTGGCGGCGGCGGCGGCGAAGAGGCGGCGGCCGAGTACATGGCAGCCAAAGGTTTTCCTTCAGGAGCCGCGGAGCTCCCCTCCGCCCGCCGCCATGTTTCTTCCTGTTGCTGTCCGCGGCACCGAGCGAGAGAGCCTAGAGCGGCCGCGCAGGGACGCCGCGGAGTCCCCCTCCCTTCTTGGAGGGGTTACAGCGGCCTCTAGTGGTCCCTGGGAGACGCGCAGGAGGAGGCTGACTTGGGGTAGCCGGTCAATAGCAGGCGAGAAGGCCTCGCCTCCCCATATTTAATATTTCGCTTCTCTTGCAGCCAGCCTGATGCTTTATATTGTATGCTGCCCTTCCTGGCTGATGCTTCTAAGGAGGATGAAGAGAAGAAGACAGGAGCAGAACTGGTGGAAGGTGGCATCAAAAGACAGAACATGCCATTAAAACTAGCCGTCTCCTTCGATCAAATCTCCATCCTACCCCTCTAAGAATGCGGAAACATAAGAAACACACCTTGCCAGAGTTGCTTTTAACATTCACTTTAATATGAAGGAAAATTCTCACATATCCTGTCGTCTTACCGACTTTCCTCCTCCAGAAGTAAACATGCCTTGGTTCTCAAAGCCCTCTCTTGACTCTTTCTTATTTTTTTCCCCCCCTAAAAAGAATTGCTTTAGTTTTTAAATGAAACGTGGACCTTTTTTTCCAAAATTGGAGCTGTCCAGCTTCACCCAAAGTTTAAAATTCAGCTTTGCTTTCATCAAGAAGAAACGGAGATGGAAGGCTTTTGCCCCGCATATATTTTTCCAGCCCCTGCAAAAAAAATAAAAGAGTTTAAAACACTGAACGTGGTGGATTGTTTTAGGACACCTCAAAGGCTAGAATAACCCAAAAGATGGAGACGGACTGTGTGATTAAAATATAATTGAACTAGCAGAAAAATGGTGGAGAAATTTTTTTTTGATGATGTTTGCTTTCTGCAATGATCACCAACTGCCCTTGTGGTCACATCTGTAACCCTGATTGGTCACTGAATTGACCCTTGTTGGGTTGGGGGAGGTTTCTTCACTCTTGCCTGAATCCATTACCATATAGCTGCTTCAATCATCATGGGGTTGAGAGTTTATTATCTTTCTACACCATAATGCAGATATGCAAAGGATTGGACTTTAAGAAGAACCTCATCATAACTGAGTTGATAAGGATGCCTGATGAACCAATAAAAAAAACTTTGTATGGATAATTTGTGGAGTTGCTCTGTCTGCTTTATACCCATCCAGAGCGTAATAAGCAGAACATGTGCTCTTAAAAAAAAAGTTTACAAAACAAGGGAAAGGTCCCGAGTTGCACCAGGCCTAATTCAATATTAGCATTTTTACGTGCAAAGCAAAGTTTCTGCTGCTAAATTCTGTCTCTTTCCATGTTTTGCAAGGAAAAAAAAACACCAATCAGTAAATGTTTAAAAAGGGTTGCTGCCCTTATTCTGAGTTAGTGCAAAACCAGCCCAAAGTTGTTCCCTTTGGCGACAGATATTTAACCCTTTTGGAGCTGAACGGAGAATAGTTTTCTGACCTCTCCAAAGTAAGAGACCAACGGTGAGATCTCGCACACAGCAGGCGGTTCCTCGTCTTGGGAAAAACTGAGAAAGACAGGAAAACAAAAACACTTAAAGCTCTCTACAAATACACAAACACAAGTTATGCTGGAGGATAATAAAGATCCAACTGCATTAAAGTTTATTCCCTGGAATAACCACATCTGCTATCCGAGACTCGGATAATAATTCTAGATTTAAATATGCATCCAGTTCAACTGAATTACCATTGAAAATGGAGATTTTTTAAATATTAATTGCTAACCATTTGGGAAACTTTTTCATAGGTGTCTGATAAATAGTTAACAGTTGTTTCAATATCCCCAGATATTAAATCTTAAAAAAAAAATCAATATTGACTTAACTCTAAAACATTCCCATCCTACTGATAAAATAAACACTTAGGATCAAAGCTTTGTTTGTTGAATCGGACCCGCAGCCGATTCACATAATGCACGAAACCAAAACCCAGCGATGGCTACAATCCCAGGATTTTGCAGCGGGTCGGATGGGGCAAGGGTTGCCTCTTCGCCCCTGCAAAACCTCCTGCCCAACTGGGCTGATGAGCAGCGCATGCCCACCTCTCCTTTTCCGGGATGGGCTGTCCGTCCTTTGTCACGAATTTTCCCCCCGCCTTGATGGCCCAGCGGTAATGCTGAGAGAGAATCGAACGCCGCGCTGTGGTCGGAGTGTCTCTGGCAGCCGTGTCCGCGTTCTTCAGAGGGGAGAACTCCTCTTCCCTCAGGACTTCAAAGGCGACAAAGTTTCTGTCAACCCAGGAAGGAAAAGGTGGGTGCTTAAAATGGGCTGACCGATGGTTTAATTAATTAAATTACGTTTGTATTGCCGCCTATTCGCCCATGGTGACTCGAGGTGGCTTACACAATGTAAAACCAAATTTAAAACAACAAAAAATAAAATAAACAATAAACAATAAAAACGAACAAAAAGAATCAAATTAATAAAGCACAATACAACCAAATCTGGGGAAAAAATAAATTAAAAAATCACTCCTCAGCTCCCGCCCCGACGAGCCGATGGGCCCCCACTCTGCCACCCGCTCCGCTCCGCAGTTGGCTGTGTCCCACTTCGGCCCAAAGAGAGGCACTGGACACTAACTTAGCAAATGGGAACACGTCAAACACAAACTTCTCCAGTTTTATCCCGTTGGGCTCGAGGGGCTGCACCCGGCGGCCTTCCTCATCCACGTAAGGCACTTTCTTGATGGCCACGTGGGGTACCAGCTGTGACTCGAACTGCCTGCGGAGGAAAGAAAGGCACCTGCCAACTGGACCTGGAACTTTCTAACCCCAGGACTGTCTCTAGGGAGCCCGCCCCCCCAAAACAGACCATCCTCAGCCCAGCTGGGGCCTCCCCACACCAAGTAGCAGGTGCAGCAGCCCGCCCACCCTCTGAGATCGTCCCCCAATTTACTCCCACGCAGCCTGGGAACTCTTTGCGGCCCCGGAAGGGAAAAGAGCTGAATTGAAGAATATTGGACTCGGCTGTCTGGGAGGAATGAAAAGGAGAAAAGAAACTTCCGTTGTCTCATCATGTGAGTTTTGGCGGCTCCCTGAAAACTGTTTCATAATTTTAATAGCGGGAGGCATTTCTGCAGTTTGCCCAGACACATTTTGGCTTTTTGACTCCTTCTGAATAATACTCAGCTGTCCGGCGGTTTGGCAGAGCAGTTAAACTACCTCCAACAGCCGTCAATTTCCAGATTAAAAGCAGGGATTTCCCTCCCTCCTTCTTCCTGGATCCAATTAGGTGTCAAGAACCTCTCTTCTTCTTCCTCGTTTTTTTGCTCCTGGGAACCTCTCCTCGCCTTTGGGAGCCCTCGGTGCAGATGGGGGGCAGGGGACTTACTCCGCCACCTCCCGAAGGAAGTTAAGGCTGAAGAAATGGTTGCAGATGTTTCCTGCCCGGTAGACCAAGCGGCCGTCGGGATGGCGTTCCTCGGCCGTTTCCACAGCAATCTCACTGTACTCCACCACCTGAAAGGCTCCGTCCAGGCGACACACCACCCCAACAGGCTCGGCGGGGTGGGCTTTCTCCACCACCTGCAAAGGCAGCATGAAGGGATCGTTGGTTGTGGTTTGCTGGCAGCCAATCAGGGACTCTGGAGAGGACGAGGACGATGCAGGGATGGGGCCAGGACCATCTGGGAGTGGGGTCCTTTCTTTGGAGCCTTCGGAGTCCAGCAGCAGCGAGGCAGAGGACCCAGGAGAGCCTGTTCCCATTGTGCGTGTGTGCAGAGCTGCTAGAAGGAGAGAGCAGCTGAGGCAAAAGGGGTGACTCAGGAGTAAGGCTGGGAGGTGATTACCCCTCCCATAAGGGATAAAAGCCAGCCCTTGGTGATGTGCTATTTGCAGGAAGCAAAGAAGAATCATTAGATTCCGATTCCTCATCGAAGCCCTGGGGACTCTGGTTTGTCTTTGCTGGAACTTCTGTCACTTTACCTGCTAATTAAGTGGATGTCTGTTTCTTGGCAGCCTTTACAACCCTGAAAGGTGTGCTCTTATCTCAGACAGTTGTGTTTAATAAGTTTTGGCTGGGAACGCAAATACTTCCCAGCGTCGCATCCGAAAAGGTTTGCTTCTACACACAGCATGTGTTTTCTTAATTTGAACGAAACCTGGGTCAGAACATCGTTCATTTTGGGAGATGAGGCACCGAAAGAGGCTGAACTTAAAAACCAGGCTCGTGGGAGACCGACCGCCCCCCCCTCACCTTGGCACCGCAATCGGCTCCTTTCGAGACGCAAAACCCAATAAAGACGGGGTCCGCCATTTTGACCAGGATGTTGTCCACGCAGTAGACGTGGAGGAACTGGACGCCCCGTCGCTGCATGTCCGCCAGGATCTTGTGGTCCACCAGGGAGCGGTACAAGCCACCGTTGCCATCTGCAACACAGGAGCAAGCGACGGCTTTCTACTCCTCCGTTGGTCACGGCAGACGTTCCTGCTTACCTTCAGCTACCGTTGGGTCCATGACTCCGGAAGTGGCTTCGTTGGCTGGAATTCCTATCAGAGAAACGGCAGAGAAAGTCCCGGAAGGCCCACTCAGTGCCCGAAAAGAGCCGCCCACCTGGTGCCATGGCGATCTTGCCCTTCTCCTCCAGGATCACCTTCCCGTCGAAGGTAACGGCCGGCAGCATGCTTTGCTCAAACATGATCACGTTCGACTTGTCCAGGTTGAAGTAGTTATGGTCCTGGAAGAACTTCTCGGTCGGCCCCAGCGTGAACTCGCTGGTCATGATGTACCTGGAAGAGGAAGCCGGATTCCTGGCCTTAGCGGATTTCCCACCGGATCCCTTCCTGCCACGGCTTGAGCCGCCTAGGGGCTACGGGACCCACCAGGGCACCAGGCACCGCGAGCCAAACTTCTGGTCGGCCAGCTGCTCCACTTTGCGGATCCTCTCGGCCTGGATCTGGTAGAGGGTCTTGTGGCTGGGCAGGCCCACGTCGAACATGCCCTTGGGGTAGGGCACCCCCAAACGCGTGCCTTGCCCGCCCGCCAGCAGCAGCACCGCCACCTTGCCCTGGGAGATCTGGCGGAAGCCTGGAGGACAGAAGGCACAGCTGGCACCACCTCTCCGCAGAGAGACCCCCCCTCCCACCCTCAGCCCCCTTGCCAGGCAGGCCCTGGAGGCACAGCACCAGGCCAGGGGGGGGAGATGGAGGCCAAAGGGCATCACCAGCTGGAGGGCGCGCCCACCTTCCTCCTCCCACCGCTCCAGAGCCGCCGGGTCGCCGCTGCCGACGCTGCCCACCACCTCGGGCGGCAGGGGCTCCATGCGGCCATCCAGCTTCTCCCGGCAGGGCCGTCGCTGGCGGGCGCAGGCTTGGGCAGCCCGGCGGCAATGCTCGGCCAGCTCCTCGGGCTCCAGCAACGCCAGCGGCCCCAGCAGCGCCTCCCGCTCCGCCGGCCCCAGCTCGGCCCAGAAGCGCAGCAGGTGGGACTGGCCGGCGCGCTCCAGCCGGACCCGCATCGCCTCTTCCTCCGACGGCCCCATGGCCGGGGCGCGGCAGGCGAGGAACGGAGGCCGAAAGGCAGGAAGAGGGAAGCGCGATCCCCTCTCGCCAGTTGCCTCCCAGAGGCCGCTCAGCTGCCGGGCTCCGCCGCGGGTCCCGCCCCGTCCGGCCAGGCGGAGCTCCCCGCCTCAAGCCAAGGCGCGGGGCGGGCCGAAGGCGGCGGGGAAGAGGCGAGGGAAGCAGCGCCGCCCCCCAAGCCTAACCCCGACCCCCGGAGCGGCCGAGGGCGGCCCCTCCCCAGCATCTCCGGCCCGGGGGTCGCGGAGGGGAGAGCGAGCGAGAGGCGGCGGCTCCTCCGGCCGCGGTTTCTGCCGGCCCGGCGGCTCCTCCGCTCCCGCAGCTAAATCAAACCAGCTCGCGGGACGGCTCAGCCAATGGGCGGTTGAGGATTGGGTCTATCGGCCAATGAGAGGGAGGGACGCTGACGTCACGGGGAGCCCCGTTGCCTTCCCGGCCGCCCCTTTGTCCGCCGATGGCGCCGGAGCGCAGCGCGTCGGGGCTCCCGCGGGCTTTCCTGCAGAGCCTCCGGCCGCTCTACGACATCCTGGACGAGCGGCGGCGGGGCTACGTGCACCTGCGGGAGATCGAGTCGCGCTGGCTGCAACCGGGCGGGGAAACGGGGCCGCTGCCGCCGGGGGTCTTGGAAGGGCTGCGCCGGGCGGCGCCGGCCAGCGGCTACCTCACCTTCGAGCGCTTCGTGCTGGGGCTCCGGCTGTCGCTCCTGGGCGACGAGCGAGGAGGGGAGCCCGCCGGCGGGAACCTGGCCGGCCCAGCGCCCTGCCCCGCCGCCGACGCCCCCTCGCCGCTGAAACGGGGCAATCGGCCGGGCGGCACCGCCGCCCCTCGGAGCCTGGAGCAGAGCAGCCACGGCGGGCAGGCGGAGCAGCAGCAGCTGCTGCCGGGCAAGCGAGCCGGTGAGGGACCCGGGCGAGGAAGGGGGCTGCAGAGTTTCTCCGATCATGGGCAGAGTCCGGCGGTTGATGGCAAGGCAGACCGACCCTAACTCGGTTTAATGGAGGAGCGGGGGGGGGGGGGGGGGCCCTGGTGGGACATGAAGGAGAAAGACCGGATGCAAGAGTGTGGGGAGGGGTTTCACTCCCAGGATCTGGGGGCTGCGCCTGGGAGAAACAGCACCCCAGATTGCAAAAGGAAAAGGAAAAAAAAACAGTTTTAAATTTGGAGGAAAGAAGGGAGAAAGGGGCCCAGAATGGCGGGTTTCCTGGTGGGTGGTGGGTTTACCAAGAACCCCTCCTCTTAACCTCTCCCCCTTCCTCTTCCCCTCTGCAGCAGGAGAGGCCGATGGGACCCGGAAGCCGAAGGAGCCGCTGGAAAACGAGGGTTCCTGCAAGGAGCCCCGCCGGCAGCTGAGCAGCCGGCGGAGACACACCATCACCCACGGAGTGGACTATGAGATGGTTGGTACTCCCATTCCTGCGCCGCCGCCCCCCCTCCACATCCCCCCACCTGGCAAAAGAGCTGGCAAGACAGAGGGAGGCTGCCCCCTAGCTGGCCTGCTGGATTTACCCCTTGGGTCACCTCCCCGCTCTGCGCTGGGAGCAATGGGAATTGTAGTCCAACGCAAATCCAGTGTGTGCCCCAGCTGGGAGGGGGGAGTTGTGGGGATGAAAGGAAGGGCGGCTGCTGATGGCCTTGCCCCCCCCCCGACCCCCGTGTCTCCTGGCAGCTGAAGCAGATGAAGGAACTGGAGAAGGAGAAGGACTTCCTGCTGGAGGGGCTGGAGCTGGTGGAGGAGGCCCGGGGATGGTACCACCAGCAGCTCCATCGCCTGCAGGGGCACCAGAAGCAGCTGGCACGGAGCAAAGGTCGCCAGGTGAGGGCAAGAGGCAGGCTGGGGGAACCTGGAGCCATCTCCCAGGGCGGTGGGGGGAGGGCTGGCCAGCCTACTCGGAGGGGGCCAATGGTGAGCCAACCACAGACCCTTCCCCTTTTCCTCAGCAGGAAGAGGGAGGCCGGACGCAGCTCAGCCATCTCTTCCCGCAAGTGCAGGAGCTGAACCAATGCCTCTGGCAGCTGCTTTCCCTCTCTGCCAAGGTGAGGAGCCCAGGGCAGTGGGGTTGGGGTGGGTGGGACCTGCCGTAAGATGAGTGCAAATAAAATAAATCAAGGAAATAAAATAAATAAACTTCGCTGGCATTTGCCTGGGGCGAGGCCCTGCTGTTGTTGTGGTTAGCTGGCAGCAGGTCCAGATGGCTGAGGAGAGTGAGGACTCAGATGAAGGGCCAGGACCATTAGGGAGTGGACTGCTGCCTTCAGAGATTGTGGGGGGG